TAATACACCCTCCAGAACATTTTCGAGATAATATTCGGAATTTATTCTGATGCCACGATCGATTAATATGGGTGGATAGCGACCTTCGGCAGTTATGGCGACCCACACCATCACCATGGCCGGCACTTGAGTTCTGGTGGCCAACCGAAGGTGTACATTTTCAGTTGACCTCTTTGGCAAGTAAACACGATCATTTTCTTTGTTTACAAACTGCTAGACAACGAATGTTTTCTCATCGAAAAAAAACCAAATTCGGCGGTTCACCATTTTCGGCCAAGCGAAGCAAGTCTTTAGCTCTTTTGAGTCTATTTACTTTCTGTTGCGGTGTAAGTTCTTGCACTTTCTGGAATTTCAATGGCTTTACCCCGAGCTCATTTTTCAATGTTTGCCGAATGGAATATTGCGATATGTTCAACATTGCGACGCGGGTTTCGATCAAGTCGCTTCTTTACTTTTCGAAGCATTTCTGCTGATGTTGCTGTTTTCTTCCGTCCACTTCCTTGACGTCGCTACCAGTATCACGGTAACGAGCGATGGTACAAGACACAAACGATTTATTCACATTTAAATGCTGGAGTGTTCTAACGACAGCCACTTGTGGTTTTCCAGCCAAATATAAAAAAAGTCATACTATCGCGCTTGAATTCCATCACGAATAATTTTTTTCTGGAAAATTCTCACCAGACGCTTAGAAACAATATAATGTGCTGTCACTAGAATAATGTTAACAGTCTGAAGTCGGTTGCTGTTTTTTCATTTTTCAAATTTTTCTATGGAATTATCTGAAAATCCACGCAAGAAGTTCCTTCCGACTCTACCCCCTGGAAGGGTATCTATATCTATAAAAGAGGAAAATGTTTGTTTGTTTGTAATTTATGGACTCGAATACCGCTGAACAGATTTCCCTGAAAATTTCCAAGTATACTATAACGTCGCCTAAAAGTATACATTTTTGAAATTCCACTTGGAACTGAAAATATAGCATCATAATCGGAGGTACCTCCCAAAACTTTAGATTTTATATTCACATATCTATTGATCGATTACAGACACAGTCTCCTAATTTGAAATGCGTTATGGTATTTGGAACAAACACATTTCAATGAAATTTGATATTTGTGGTGGAATTTTTCGAAAAATTTGTTTGCCAAATTAAATTGAAATCTGTTCAGATTTGGATATAGCTCCCATATAAATTTTCGGCCGATTTGACATATTTGATGCACCAAACAAGATGTGTATGTTCGATTCCAATATAATTTGGAATGAGTGACGGAAATTGATCAGAAAATAAATTGGCCAAATTATATTCAAATCGGTTCAGATTTGGATATAGCTCCCATATATATTTCGGTCGATTTAACATATTTGATGCACCCAACGCTATATGTTTGTCCGATTCCAATGAAATTCGGATAGAGAGGCAAAATTTGGTACCAAAAATAATTTGCCAAATTATATTAAAATCGGTTGAGGTTCGCTATATATAGCTATATAGATCTATATTTCGGCTGATTTCATGTATCTTATGCAACAAACATGATATGTATGTCCGATTCCAATGAAATTCAGAATGGGTGACTTAATTTGGTTACAATAATACATTTAATCGTTTCAAATTTCGTATTTAATGTTTGAAATTGGTACTTCAGTCTAATACAAAACAAGTAAAAAAAATTCCACCATTTGGAACGAATTTGGCTATTCTCAAAAACAAAAAAATCCGTTAAAAATTCTGTTAAAATCTTCAAAATACCGAATGTAGCCTTTACATTAGGGTCTATACGACGACATGGACCTGCATAGGTAACTTTTGTCATAAGCCATTACAATATTCAAATGCGAAACTTAAAAAAAACCAGTAAAGAAAGTCTTAAAGTCGGGCGGGGCCGACTTTATGATACCCTACACCACTTTGCTAATTAAGTAGAGCTCCACATAACAATTAAAAGTTTTTATGGGAGAATTCAATCATACACGCTATGATTATAATTATAATTTAAAGTTCAAAAGATTAAATATGCAGAAGCAAGCACAAGTAATTTGAAATCGGGTAAAGATATATATGGGATCCAAACCTGAACCGATCTCGATAAAATTTGGCAAAGATATTTTTGAGCTGTATTTTATATATTTCCCTGAATATCGTTGTTACGGAGTGCATATTACGGCTGTGGGTAACAAATATAACAAATCGGAGGAACAATATATATGGAAGCTATAGCTATATCTGAACCGATCTTCACCAAATTTGACATACTAGCTTCTAGACTCAATTCGGTCGTAAGTGCCAAATTTCATCCAATTTGGACAAATATTAGACGTTTGGTGCACAATAAAAATTAAATCGGACGAAGTTATATATGGGAGCTATATAAAAATCTGAACCGATCTCGATAAAATTTAGCAAATGTATTTTTGAGCTGTATTTGATATATTTCCCCAAATATTGTTTTTGCATAGTGCATATTACGGCGGCGGTGGACAAAAATAACAAATCGGATGAACAATATATATGGGAGCTATAGCTATATCTGAACCGATTTCGATCAAATTTGGCATACATATTTTCGGGCCTAATTTGGGTGTATACGCAAAATTCCATACAATTCGGGCTGATATTACACGTTTGGTGCACAATAAAATGCAAATCGGACGAAGATGTATATGGGAGCTATATCTAAATTTTGACCAATTATCTCCAATTTCAATAGGGTTCGTCCTTGTGCCAAACAAAAGATCTTTGCAAAATTTCATCTGGATCGGGCAATAAATGCGACCTGTACTTTGTTTACAAAAATACACGGACAGACGGACGGACGGACAGACGGACGGACATGCATAAATCGACTCAGAATGTGATTCTATGCAGATCATCAAAAGGAACTATGGGTCTATCTCGTTTCCTTCTGCCTGTTACAAACAAATGCACAAAGACATAATACCCTGACCACCTTGTGGTGTAGGGTATAAAAACAGTGAATAATGTAGCTAAACTCATCAAAATACCGAATATCGGGAGGTACCGTTATATGGAGGCTATACGAAGACGTGGACCTGCAGAGACAATTTTCTATCATAGGCTGTAGTATCCATTACTAACTTCAAATAGCAAATTTGAAACAATTCCTGTGAATAACATCGCTAAAATCATTAAAAATACCGAATATCGGGTGGTACCGTTATATGGGGGCTATACGAAGACGTGGACTGACACAGACAATTTTCTGTCATAGGCTGTAATATTCATTACGAACTTCAAATACCAAGTTTGAAACAATTCCGGTGCATAATGTCGCTAAGATCATCAAATTGCCGAATAACGGGAGGTACCATTATATCGGGCCTATTCGAAGACGTGGACCTGCACAGACAATTTTCTGTCACAGGCTGTAGTATCCATCACGAGTTTCAAATATCGAATTTGAAACAATTCAGATAAATATTGTGGCGAAAATCTCCAAAATACCGAACATCGGGAGGTACCGTTATATGGGGGCTATACCATTTTCAATACCAAAAGTCCTGCAGACATAATATACATTTGAGTAAAATTTTATCGATCTTCTTCAATTGGTTCGGAAGCTAGAGTGATTTTCACAGACGGACGGAGATCGCAAAATCTATATAAAATTGTCCATATAACAGTACCTTCCAGTATTTTGATAAATTTAGCGATATTGTACACGGCAATTGTTTCCAATTTTGTATTTGAAGTTCTTTATAGGTACTACAGCCTGTAATAACAAATTGCATATATAGGTCCACGTCTTCGTCCACGTACCCATGTAACGATACCTCTCGTTTTTTGGTATTTTGATGATTTTAGGAATATTATTCATCGGAATTGTTTCGAATTTCGTTTTCAAAGTACGAAATGATGAATATGACAAATAGCGGTTTTCATTCAAGCGGTATTTTTCTTGCTTCTTTTTATGTTCCTTCCAAATGGTGGAGGGTATTAAAAGCTTGGCCTGGCCGAGCTTACTTTCATAATCCAATAAATTTTCCCCGTAGCTACTAAAAAAATGAAATTTGTCCAGAAAGTTATAGAAGACAGAAGTTGTTACCTGTTTTTACTCGAACCGAACTTATATCATTTCATTCCCTTGAAAAAACCAAAATTTCTTAAAATCGAAAAAATAACGTAAATGCATCTCTTCTATTTTAAATTACGAAATCCACCTCAAAATTATTCCCACGAACCCTTGGGGAACTCTTATCTCTAATGAGATCTTTTGTGTAGGTGAGAAACGTTTACTTACAGACACACTTTGATTACGGAGTCAAGAGGTCACCGCATAAAAACCTCTAACCTTCATTTACATATAATGGCAAATAAAGGTGTTGATTTTTAATAAATTTAAAAAAAAAGATATTAGCATCATAAAATGGTACCAAAAAATAGGGGATACAGCAACAAATACTCAGCCAGACGTGAATGTGATAAATCATTCTAAAATGAAAAAAGACAACCAGACAAACAAACAAACGAGCGACCGAACAAACAATCAAAGTGCGTTAATAAATTGTACTATTGTTTCTTTTGATGACTTTAGAAGAGCATGAGAAGATGTTTGACCGGCTTGCGGCTGCGTCGAACAACTGACACAGTCAGCCAGTGACTTACTGACCACAACGTCTAAACGCCATCACTTTACGAGGCCCTGAGCTGGTTATGAGCGTCGATTATGCGTTGAGCAGCGAGCAGTAAAATCATTTTGAACTGTTACTGGCATTACCGCTGCTGTTGCTTATCTAAAGATTATCTGAGATACATAAACTGAAAAGTTTATGCTGTATTATGGCATCTCTGTGTGTTGAGGCCCCGAGGCTTGATATGCAGATGGTCAATGTTGTTGGTGGTGCTTCAAAATTTGTAGTTCTCTCCAAAAACAAAAATTCCACGATTTTTTCTCTTGTCGCATTTGGTGTTGTAAGTAAAACGAACGATATTTGGATGATCTTCCAAGTTGTCTTATAAATTGTAAGGGCCAACCATTGCAGATCATCAGTCGAGCTTTTACATTCGTGTGCTATACAACCCCCCTTACAATAAGCCTTAAGCACTGAATACAAAATGGTTAGTGTGATAAAGTTTAGAGAAAAAAAAAAAAGAAAAATTATTTACGAAAACAAAATTGGAAAAAAAAAATTAAAAAAAGTGAACTCTAGTGGTTTTTCCAAAAAAGAAAATAGGAAAATACGAAATGTTTAATGTGTCATCTGTTTTCCCCTTCTTCCAGAAAATCTTCTTTGTTGTGAGTCTGGCTGTTATGGCCTCTTTGGCTACTGCCGATGTCAGTGAGTTGCAAAAATACAATTATCCTGCCCCATCATCGGCATCCAACGCAGTGGCTTCCTACAGTCCCGGCCATCAGTCTTACTCTCAATCCTCTCAAATCCATGTGGAATCGATTAGACCTTCAGTGGCTGTAGCCAGTTTCACCATGCATCATACAACTGGTGCTGAAACTTCTGCCCAATCGGTCTCTACCTCTGGATCTTACAGTTCTGCCACACAACAACAGCAAGGTTATTCTGCTCCAGCTGCTGGTCCATCAAGTGAGTATCTCCCACCGGCCAGCTCTCATGTTCATGAGCAAACATATAACGCTGCTGCTGAAGGATCTCACTCATATGAAGGTGCTGCTAACAATGGTGCCTACAACTATCAGCCAGCTGCTGCTGCTCCAGTACAACAACAATCCTACACAGCTCCAGCTGCTGCTCCAGTCCAACAATCATACTCTGCACCCGCCCCTGTCCAGCAACAATCGTATGCTGCTCCTGCCCCTGTCCAACAAAGTTATTCTGCTCCTGCTGCTGTTTCCACCGGTACTTATAACTATCAAGCACCAGCTGCCGCTACTGCTCAACAATCCTATGCCGCTCCCGTTCAACAAAACTATGTCGCCCAGCAATCCTACTCTGGTGCTGAACAGACTCAACAATCCTATGCTTCAGCTTCCTCTAGCAGCGTTGCTGTAGACAACGGTTCCTACAACTATCAACAACCTGCTCCAGCTGTTGTGGCCCAAGAACAGGGAAGCTATTCCGCCCCTGCCCAACAAACATATTCTGCTCCAGCTGCTGCTGCTCCAGTTCAACAAACCTATTCCGCTCCCGCTGTTGCTGACAATGGTGCCTATAACTATCAAGGACCAGCTGCCTCAAATGTTCAGCAATCGTACTCGGCTCCAGTACAACAGGAGTCCTACTCTGCCCCCGCCCCCGCACAAGAAACCTACTCGGCCCCAGTCCAACAGAGTTATTCTGCCCCAGCTGCTGCACCTGTCCAACAATCCTACTCTGCACCAGCCCCGCAAGAATATGCCCAACAATCTTACTCCAATACAGCTGATAACGGTGCTTATAATTATCAAGGTCCTGCTGCCGCCTCAGTGCCCGTTCAACAACAATCATACCCAGCACCAGCTGTTGCTCCAGCACCCACTCCAGTTCAACAGAGCTACTCTGCCCCTGCCCCAGTCCAACAAACCTATACAGCTCCAGCTGCTGCACCAGTTGACAATGGCGCCTATAATTATCAAGGACCCGTTGCTGCATCGGCTGCCGTTCAACAACAAACTTACTCTGCCCCCGCACCTGTACAACAATCCTACTCTGCTCCAGCAGCAGCTGCTGCTCCAGTTCAACAACAACAATCCTATGAGGCCCCAGTTGCTGCTGCCCCAGTCCAGCAATCCTACTCTGCCGTCACAGTTGATAACGGTGGTTACAGTTATCAAAATTCTGCCAGTCAACAACAATCCTACACAGCCTCATCCAGCGCCGAATCTCATGCTACCCAACAAGCCACCAACCAATACTCTGTTCCCGCTCCACAAAAGGTTACATTCCCCGCCAGCTCAGGTCAAGATGTTGGCACTGTTTATGGTTCAAATGGCGGTTATGTCTATAGCAGAAGACACTAAATGGAAAATATTTCCACATTCAGTTGTGATATGAAAGGATTTTTTTCGGAACCCAAAAATTCCGAAAATGTAGTTTCATTGTTATTGTTGTTTTTATAGTACATTGTTAGAATAATTTTTAGCTCAATTGTTGTTATCTTTTTCGATTATCATCATTTCATTTTTGTTTTAGTTTTATTAAATAAATGACGAATTTATTAGTTAATTTGAAGTCACTTCTTTGATGGAATTTTGGGGGACAATGCCAGTTCTATGCGAATGAATGATAATTAAAATATTGCACTTTTGTGGAGGGAGGTACCAGAAGGAGTTGGCCGAAAAATCCATTTCACATCAAATCTCTGGTTGGAAAAAATAAGGAAAACTATTAGGGTATACCAAGATTAGAAAGAATCGCCGAATTGTTTCGCAAGTTATGAGAGATACAAGTATTGGAAGTTGTGACCTTTTGTGGGGGTACATGAAGGGGTGTTCCAGTATATTTCATCTTTATGCCATATCATGTGCTGGTAAAAATATGGTGATGTGCTAAGCTTAGAAGCAATCAGATGCATATTTCTAATTTTATTCGAAAAAATTATAACTCCTGAGTGATGCAGGTATCAGAAGGAGTGTGCCGATACATCCCATATTCAAACCAGATCTTTCTTTGGTAAATATGTTGGGTTGTGTGAATTTTAAAGAGATTTGGATTTGCTTATATCGCTTTTATGAATGTTATGTTATTTAAAATGTTGATCCCTTTGTGGGGGGTGATACAAGAAGGAGTAGGTCGATATCTATCTTCAGAACATATCTTGTGGTAGTATAAACATAAACATGTTTGAAGTTTAAAATGAATCACATGCTCTTTTCGCATTTTAGAAGGATATAATTACACAAAATTTGACCGGTTTTGAGAGTTTTATCTTAGCAAATTTTGATCCTTTGTGGCATAGGTACTTAATGTAGTGAACCGATATTATCCATTTTCGCACTTGGCAAAAATATTGGTAGTTGCTAAATGTACACAAAATCGAATGATCCTTTCTCTTTCTATGAGGAAAATTATTTTCTTTGAAAATGTTGTCCTTTCGTGGAGGAGGCGCCACAAGGAGAGGACCGATGTTACTCATATCCGAACTCGATCTAAGTTTTATATAATACTAGCTGGCCCGGTCCGCGTTGCCGGCCCCTACTTTTAGTTTTTTTATTGCATATTTTTTAAGGCATTATAGAACACTGATCTGAATGATTTCAAAATAGTCAAAGATAATTGGTCTTTTACACCCATTACCTTAAGATAGGAATTAATTTATTTTTGTCATTTAAATTGTGTGTTGGAAAACCCATAAAGTCCATATTTTTCTTCATAGTATAATTCAATAACGATCCAAAAAATAATATTCGTGATTTTTTCATGTTTCTGCCACAATTTGATATTTCGGAGTTCAAAGCATGTAGACGTACATCCCACTTCTACGTTCCCAGCCAATATTCTCTTGAGAGTTAAAAATTCAATAGTATACCAAATTTTTTTTTCTGACCAAACATTGGTTAGGAATGTGGATTTGCGGGTACACTAATGTGGGAACTATACTTAATAAAATGCCTATGTGGACAATTATCTGTAAGACGATTCTCTATCCCAGAGTAGCCTAAATACAATTTTTTAGCCAAATCAATTGATGAATGTGATCAAGACCAAGATGGACTCTACTCCAAAAGTCAAAATATTATGAGAAGAGGTTTTTTACACCCGTAGAAACAAAGATGTCAAATAAAGGCCTGAAAAATGAAAGAAAAATGTCGAAAACCCCGAATATAGCTTAAATTATATAATGGTTATACCAAAACGTGATCATTTTTTGCGAGGATGGTTTCTTCTCAAATTACCAACTTTTGCTAAAATGCGTATGAGTAAAATATGGTTAAAATGTAAACTATACTTGAAAAAGGAGTGTACCCTTATCCGGGGGTCATATATCGTGACCTGCAAAAGCGATTTAAGATATCTTGAAAGTTTTTTTTTTCCTAAATGTCCAATTCGCTCTACCATTTTGCACCATTTTGCTCCAATGAATTGCATTTTGAGTTCTCATTGGGCGGATTACTGTAATATGAAAGAAATAGGTTCACATATAAGGGTTATACCAAAGCATGGTCCTATTCTTATAATTATTTGAAAAAATGTGTTGTTCTTCTTAAAATCTCAAATTACCAACATTTGATATACATCTGATATATATTTTGAACAACTGATTATTCATGAAACCCCTAGGAAAAATTTAAAACTCTATGGTAACTTTTGCGAAGTATGGAGCAAAATATTTGAGGACCTTTGTGTTTGGTTAAACTATATAAAATGGACCCTAAAAACGTTTGATCCCCCTTTTTGGGATTGTTATGTACCAACCAAACTGACTACTGATGATAGCGCATAGTCACCGTATAACGTTTCATGGGAGTTAAGGTTACTTTTAAGGTTTCCTTTTCTTTCCAAATTTTCAATTTGCTCCACTATTTTATATAGTTCGCATATAACAGTGCTCTTCATATTCGGTATTTCACTGGTTGCAGTCCCAATGAATTTTGCATTTTAAGTTCTCATTGGATGGATTATTTCCATATCTAGTCAATTTCCATTGAATTTTTTTTTTTTCGATTTTTCCCGATTTGAGAATTTTTGCCATGAGATCTCTTTTATCGTGTTTTTTAGCGATTTTGAAAAAGTAATTATCTTTTAACATTGGTCTAACCGCGTTAAGTTATTTCGATATCATTTGACTGACTTCCATGCAACCCGCCATCAATTTCAGTTCTCAAGAAATCAAGTCAATTAAATAAATTGGTATTAATATTCGAATTAAAAAAAAAAATATAAAAAAAAAACACTACAAATGTACATTAGAAAAAAGTAAGTCAAAATGGAAAAAAAAAAATCATGCAAAATAAAACATTACTATTGTACATTTCAAAAGTCAAAATGAAAATGTTAATATATCACATTTTTACGGGATTTTTTTGAATATTATCCTTTTCGGAAAAGAGACAATTCCGAATTTGTATGAATCGTTAAAATCGGATCAGCGGATCTTGAGTTATAAGCGTAGTAACTAACACAACTTACATTTATATATATAGATTTCGATATGGAAGGTTTGGACCAAATCGAGTACTCCCTTTGAGAGACATAGTGAGCTCCAGCCAGGCTAACAGACGGACACACCAAATGTCTTGAAACAGATTTGGTCCAAAATGACCTAGGGTCTTCTCACGAGAAGGCCATTGACGACCAGGATTCCTTCTCCTAGAAGAAGAAAAGATCTTCTCGCAAAAGATAAGAAGGTGTTCTCATAAAAAATAACAAAAAGGTCTTCTCGAAGAAGACGGTTTTCTCATAGAAAGGATAAAGTCTTGTCATAGAACATGAGGAGGTCATCTGATGAAAGATGAAACGACGAGAAGGTCTTCTTATTGAAGATGAGAAGGTCTTAATGTTTCTGTGCAGTATTTTTTTTTTTTTTTTTTTTTTGAAAATTTCGACCTTTTGTGGAGGATATACCACAAGGAGTGGACCGAAGTTGGCCATCTCCAAACGCGATCTAAGTTTGATAATAATATTACGATATACCAAGTATGGATCAAATCGGATACTACCTTCGAGAGTTATCGTGCGTACCAACCACGACGGACATCGCTAGATCGACTCCAAATGTTCTGAAACGGACTTGGTCCAAAGGGTCTAAACCCGTTATTTCGATGAGGTACATTTTGGCTGTATCAAATGATATATGTCCTCTCTAGCCGTATAGCTAAGAGTATAAAAAATAGGGCCTTTTCGGTTAAGAGAAGACGAGAAGGTCTTCTCAGAGGCGACGAAAAGTTCTGCTCATAGGTGATGAGAAGGTCTTCACACAGGTGATGAAGAGGTTTTCTCATAGAGGCCGATAATATCTTCTCACAGATGGTGAGAAGGTGTTCTCAAAAGACGAAAATTATGTTAAAAATTCTGTTAAGATCTTAAAAATACCGCATGTAGCCGTATATTAGGGCCTATACGACGACGTCGACCTGCATAGGCAACTTTTGTCATAAGCTGTTACAATATTCAAATGGAAAACTTGAAGAAAAAAAATCTGTTTATAATGCAGCTAAAATCATCAAAATACCGAATATGGGGAGGTACCATGGAGGTTATAAAACATGGATCTGCAGAAAATGTTCTGTCATAGGCTGTAGTATCCATTACGAACTTCAAATACCAAATTTGAAATAATTCCGGTAAATAATGTCGCGAAAATCATCAAAATACCGCATAGCGGGAGGTATCGCTAAAAACCATATCAATCAATACCCAATATCGGGAGGTACCGTTATATGGGGCCTATACGAAGACATGGACCTATATGGCTCATTTTCTGTCCTAGGCTGTAATATCTATTACGAATTCAAATACCCCTTTTGAAACAATTCCGGTAAATAAAGTTGCGAAAATCATCAAAATACCGCATAGCGGGAGGTACCGTTATATCGGGGCTATACGAAGCCGTGGACCTACATGACCCATTTTCAATACCAAAAGTCCTGCAGACAGAATACACATTTGAGAAATTTTTTATCAACTTACTTCCTTTTTTCGGAAGCTAGAGTGATTTTCACAGACGGGCAGACGGATAGACCGACAGATGGACGAACATCGCTAAATCGACATAGAATTTTATTCTGATCAAGAATATATATACTTTGTGCGGTCTAAAATGTATATCTCGAGGTGTTACAAACAGAATTACAAACTTAATATACCCTCCATACTATGGTGGAGGGTATAAAAAATAAATAATCAAATAAAAGGGAATTATAAAAAATAGTGTAACTTTGGTTCACCTTTAAATATTCTCTCACTATATTTTGCTCAACCCTGATTGAAACCCTCTATGACATGTGCTTATGCCAATCAAGATGTAAGCCCAATGCCATGGTCATAAAACTCATAGCTGTAGACACTGCTATTGTTATGTTCATATGATTAAACTATTTTTATTGTCGATGATCTTAGCAATATTAATTTTGAATTTAAATACATTTCTAATATTTCAGAGCGATATTAACAATGCCAAAAAAAAAAAAAAAAAAAATATAAGCAACATATATGTATGATAGCTATGTGAATTAGGGTTATTAGTCATTGCTTTGGATTTTTGTATAAAATATTACAGTTCGTCATGGAAATGGTTTCGGGTGTTTAATTAAGAACTGATATTTAATATAGCTAAATATTCAACCTTTATTTTTTTATTTATTTATTTTTGAAATGATTAAGCCGTGGATCTCTCTGCTCCTAATACCACATCATTGTTGTGGTAAGATATAAAGATTTCACGGGCATATGATTGATTTGGCAAGCCGCCATCTGCTGTTCATGCAAATGATGGGTTATCCAAATATTGTTGCAACATTATTGAAATGTGTGATACTCATTTTTCTTGTCTTACCGACAGTTTTAATACTGTCACTGGTTTCGAAAATAAAAAACAAAATTATAAATAACAATTGCGAGTTCTAAAAGACATGTTAATTATTAAAAAAAAAAAGATTTCAGGAACGAGTTCCGTTATGCAGAGTCTGTGCCATTCAAGAAATTTGGGACCATTGTTTAAGCCTGGCAACAACAACGCAACGCCAAACTTGTCAAATTATCTAATTAAAAATACCATTTCTGGTAGGTGTAGATTATGTTATATATTGAGAAAAAGATTTTGAATAAATCTAAATTTATTTGTATTCGACTGTGTTAAAATGATTTATAGCCGTTAATATTTTAGCGCACATCATCATCAATAGAGAGTTTATATAAATAATTTGTTTTTATACATAAAAAATTCTACCAGAACCATATATGTAGGCACTCCCAAAGGGGATTGATGGTATATTTATTTTCTCATGCCTGTTTGTAACAGATTGAAATATTTGTAGGAATTCTGTTAAACCCAACAAAACTTGTAAGCTATATGAAACGAATAGCCCATTAAAATATAATATAAACTAGCAAATGTCCGCTAATTCGAAAATATAACGAAGAATTTCAGCTCTACAGCAACTTCAGACTGCTGTCATTTCTAAGCCACTCATCCGACAGCTGTTAAAATTATTCCAGTGACAGATCATTATATTGTTTACAGGCGTACAAAAGCATTTTGCTTCGCTTGGCCGAAAATGGTGAACTGCTGAATTTGGTTTTCTCCGATGAGAAAACATTCGTTGTCCAGCAGTTTGTAAAAAAAACAAAGTGATCGTGTTTACTAGCCAAAGAGGTCAGCTGAAAATGTGCACATTTGGTTGGCCACCAGAACTCAAGCGACGGCGATGGTGTGGGCGCCATAACAGCCGATGGTCGCTATACGCTCGTATTAATCGACCGTGGCATCAGAATAAATGCCGAATATTATCGCGACAATATTCTGTTTTTTTTTTGGTGGTTTTTGAAATGTGTACTATAATTGTGGAAAAAGTACTAAATGTGGTATTGGGTGAAGAGATAGTGTTGAAATTCTGAAAATTGATAGTGATTTGTTCGAAAAGTATTAAGTGGTACTAAACTGATCTTGGGAAGGGGCAAAGCTGAAATTTGATTTTGAGGTCACTGTTGTTTTCCAGACGTTGAAATAGTTTTGGACAGAAACATTGGATGTGTGTCTATTGTATGTCCAACCATGCTAAGGTTGTACTAATATCCTCCTCGGTAAACTTCAAAATGACAGATTTTGAAAAGTTTTTTTCTTTTTTTTTTAAAGGTTATCATTACCCTCTTATTCTTTCTAAAGAAGAAAAACTTGAATAATTATAACATTTTTAATACTAAACAATTAAAAAGCTGTATGTATACCCTCCACCATTTCAAAACAATAAAAGACCGTTAAAAATTCTGTTAAAATCTAAAAAATACCGAATGTAGCTGTTATATTAGGGTCTATACGACGACATGGGCCTGCATAGGTAACTTTTGTCATAAGCCATTACAATATTCAAATGCGAGACTTGACAAAAAAATCGGTAAATAATGTATCTAAAATTATCAAAATGCCGAATATCGGGAGATACCGTTATATGGGGGCTATACGACATTCTGCACAGACATTCTTCTGTCTTAGGCTGTACTATCCATTACGAACTTCAGATAAAAAATTTGAAACAATTCCGGTGAATAATTTCGCTAAAATCATCAAAATACCGAATATCTGGAAATACTGTTTTATGGGGACTATACGAAAACGTGGAACTGCGCAGACAGTTTTCTGTCTTAGGCTGTAGTATCCGTGACGAACTTCAAATACCAAATTTGAAACGATTCCGGTATCGGGAGGTACCTTTATATGGGGGCTATACGAAAACGTGGACCTGTGCAGACAATTTTCTGTCTTAGGCTGTGGTATTCATTACGAACTTCAATTACCAAATTGGAAGCAATTCCGGTGAATAGTGTCGCTAAAATCATCAAAATACCGAATATCGGGAGATACCGTCTCATGGGGGCTATACCAAAACGTGAACCTACATGGCCCATTTTCAATACCAAAGTCCTGCATACATTTGAATAAAACTTTATCAATCTACTTCAATTCGTTCGGAAGCTAGAGTGATTTCCACAGACAGACAGACAGACGGACGGATATAGCTAAATCGACATAGAATTTTATGCTGATCAAGAATATATGTACTTTGTGAGGTCTAAAATGTATAATTCGAGGTGTTACAAACGGAATGACAAACTTAATATACCCTCCATACTATGGTGTAGGTTATAAAAAAGAGCGAATCTAAAATTTTAAAGTGGTCTTTCCGATGACGAAGTACCGGCCACTTACTAGTCTGTATAAAAAATGGTGGCTGTTTGCGTAGCAAAATTGAAAATAAAGGAAGTGGGAGAAACATAAAAACACAATCAATTAATATTTTTTCCCACTGAACAGTGGACTGTATATTTTTTATAGGGTGGTTGTTCGTGGAACAATATTACCTTCGTACAAAGGGTTTTTAGCAGTAGGACGTAATCCTATGCTTGTTAGTACTCATAGAGTCGGTAGAATACTGTAAAGGCGGCAATTACAAACGTCACTCCTTAGGGAATGTCATTACCTTTGACATTATGTACGAAGTACAAAGTCGTATTAAGAGGTAGTAGACATTACCTAAGGAGGAGAAAAATCACCCGTGTTACAAATATGTAATATTAACGCAATTTAATGAAAATTAAGTTTAAAATTAAACAGTGGCAAAAATAAAAATTGCTGCTGGAAACTTCAAGCTCAACTCAAAGTCTATTTTCATTCTGTGCCAATATCATGATTCTAACAGACAGGCAGCTATTATTAATATTTTTTAAAGTAAGATTCGCTGGAAAAATTTGAATTATTACCATTGTGTAGGTTCTATACGAAAATGTGGACCTGCATAGGCAAATTTCTGTCATAGAAGGTAGTATCCATTACGGACTCCAATAACCAAATTTGCAATAACTCCAATGAAAATACCAAAAATAGGTTGGTATTGTTACATGGGGAGTATGTGGGCATGTATTGGCAATCACTTGTACCCGTTACGAACTTCAAATACCAATTTAAAATAATTCCGGTGTTGTTGTTGGAACATCATTTAAAATCTTTCAACTGATATTAATTTTTTATGAGGAACAATAATACAGTATTGGGTCTATTATATTTAAAAAATCGAATGTGATTTCCTTTCTCTAGTTTACCGTGACTCAACCGGTTCGATGATATCAGATTTGGTTTTTTTTTGATAACTAATCTTTTCAAAAACCAATTGTACTAATGAAATTAGGGTGTGCAAAAGATTACAATTAGATTTTTGGATTATTAGCTGAACTGATTCCAGTTTCTTGATTTAATTAAATATGCAAAAAATTATATTTCTCTTAAGAAAAAAATACAATCAAAGAAACTTAAATATATGGATGGACTTATGTTAATTCTGCAATTTGTGCAAGAAGTAATTTTGCAGACTAACAAGTTTTGTACTTTGGTAATATTTTTTAGAAAACGAAAACAAAATTGTCTGAAGAAATTTGTCTATAAATATCGATAATGTTGTTATTGCCATTTCAGTACCAGCCGTCGATATCATTGTGCAAATTGCCGGATCACAAAATGGTTAGTGAAAGTGTAGAAATTACAGTTTGAAAAGTTAAAATTACATTTTAATGTCGAAATGTGAACCAATTGTGAAAATACATTCTGTTCGATAAGAAAACTTTCAAATTATGGACGTAATATAAAGAAAATTCATTCATTGGGTGGAACCACTGATGTATTCTGTGATGTGATAAATTTTTCTAGTTAATTTTGGAAATTCTCGTAGCTGATATTAACATATGTCCGAAACATACGCGCAATATGAACAAAATTTTTAATCCATAGTGTTGTTGGAATAAACAAGTTAAAAAGAATCCGTTCGTTTTGCCGACTAATGTATACCCTAAGCCACTATTAAATTTATATATATTTTGAACTGCGTTATGATTATTGACCCTTGACCCTTTATGAGGGGAGATTCGAAAGGAGTAGGCCAATTGTATCCATTTCGTATCTGACCTAAGTCTCATATAAATGTGTCAGATTTGGGCTATATCGACTACATCATTCACCTTTACATGAGAAATGTAGTAATTTTTGGAAAATTAAGGAATGTGAATGAGGTACCAAATATAGTGGACTGAAGTATTTAACTTCATTTAATACTAAAAAAATAGGGGCGAGCATCTAAAATTTATTTCCAAGTTTATCCGAATAATTATTCAAAATATAAACCTTTTATGGGGGAGGTACCAGAAAGTGCACGTCGCTGAATTCCATATTTACATCAGATCTCAGTTTACCAAGTTTATTGAGAATTGTGACCCTTTGTGGGGGAGATACTAAAAGGGGTGGGCCGATATCTATCATCTTCATGCCAGGTCTTGTGTTAGTAGAAATATGGTGATGTGTGTAATTTAAAATAAGTAAAAAAGTTGTAAGTTCGGCCAGGCCGAACTTTTAATACCCTCCACCATTTGGAACGAATTTGGCAATTCTTAAAAACAATAAAATTCGTTAAAAATTCTGTTAAAATCTTAAAAATACGGAATATAGTTGTTACATTAGGGTCTATACGACGACATGGACTTGCATAGGTAACATTTGTCATAATATTCAAATGCGAAACTTAAAAAAAATCGGTAAATAATGTAGCTAAAATCATCAAAATATCAAATATCCGGAAGTACCGTTATATTGGGGGCTATACGAAGACCTGAACCTGCAAACACATTTTTCTGTCTTAGGCTGTAGTATCTATTACGAACTTCGAATACCAAACTTTGAAAAAATTCCGGTGAATAATGTCGCTTAAATATACAGGTACCGCATAGGTACAGTTATATGCGGGTTATACGAAGACGTGAACCTGCACAGACAATTTTCTGTCATAGGCTGTTGTATCCTCTACGAACATTAAATACCAAATTTGAAAGAATTCCGGTGTATAATATCGCTAAAATCATCAAAATACCGAATATCGGAAGGTACGGTTATATGGGGGCTATTTAAAGACGTGAAGCTACACAGACAATTTTCTGTCTTAGGCTGTAGTAACCATTACGAACTTCAAATACCAAAATACGGTTATATGGGGGCTATTTAAAGACGTGAAGCTACACAGACAATTTTCTGTCTTAGGATGTAGTAACCATTACGAACTTCAAATACCAAATTTGAAACAATTCCGGTGAATAATATTGCTAAAATCGTCAAAATACCGAATATCCGGAAGTACAGTTGTATGGGGGATAAACGAAGGCGTGGACCTTCACAGACAATTTTCTGTCTTAGGCTGTAGCATCCATTTCGAACTTTAAATACCAAATTTGAAACAATTCCGATGAATATTGTCGCAAAAATCATCAAAATACCGAATATCGGGAGGTACCGTTATATGGGAGCTATAACAAAACGTCGACCTACATGGCCCATTTTCAATGCCAAAAGTTTTGCAGACATAATATACATTTGAGTAAAACTTTATCAATCTACTTCAATTCGTTCGAAAGCTAGAGTGATGTTCACAGACGGACGGACATGTCTAAATCGGCAAAGAATTTTATGCTGATCAAGGATATATATACTTTGTGGGGTCTAAAATATATATTTCGAGGTGTAACAAACGGAATGACAAACCATACTATGGTGGAGGGTATAAAAAATCGGATATATATATTTTGCCAAATGTTTACCCTTTATGTGGGAGGTACCAGAAGCAGTGGACTGACATATTCCATCTTCACGCTAGATCTTGGGCTAAATATTGTGCTCTGCGAAAGCTGAAGAGAATCGGAAGCTTACTTCGCATTTTATAAAAGTTTTAATTATTTCAAATTTGGACCTTTGGTGTAGGAGGTAAATGTTGGAATGGACCGATATTTTTCATTTCCGCACCTGAGATACAAATATTGGGATTTGCAAAGTTTAAATAAAATGGGTTAATATCATTGAAATAATTTTATGTGAAAATATTTTTGTGGGGAGGTACAAGAAGGAGTGGACCGATATTGCCCATCTCCGAAGTCGAAATAAGATTCATAATAATATTACGATGTAAAGGAGGCATTTCTAAAACATCCACCATATCTTAACCTCAGATACAAATTTGATCTCTGTCTTTCCCACCATTGCCAAATTTAGTACCATTAGGTACAATTATAATATATCCATAATCAGCTCCTTCTCTCAACCACAGACACCAACAGTGACATCCACATGACATTTCAGGGTATCAGCTCTATTCCTTTACCCAAATTTAGTACTATTTTGTACTTTTCGTACAATTATAGTACACATTTACAAAATTACTTCTATATATCAATAAAAGATACCAGTAGAGATATCAATATCAAATTTTGGGATTTCTGCTCTATCCCTTAACCCAGTACCAAATATATTATCGTTCAGTACTTTTCGTACAATTATAGTACATATTTCCGAAACTACCTACATATCTTCAGGCTATACATGAACAGCGACCCTAATACCAAATTTTAGATTTCAAACACTATCTGTGTACCCAATACCAAATTGTACTAAATATAGTACTATTGTGCTTGTCGTGCACTTCTAGTACACATTTCCAAAACCCTCAGCATGCATAACAAATATCTGATGAAAAATGTTGGCTCTATTCCACATAAACCCTTTTATACATCTATCCTAGATAGATATTCTAAGAACCCCAATATTTATGAGCGAAATGGATTCCCATTGGCTTAAAAAGTAAATCCCGTCGGACCTTTTTTGGATATAGTCCGGGTTCACCTCGAGTTATTTTATAGTTATATTTTCCAATAATATTTCTTAATTTTTCCACGTTGAGTTCTCTTTGTGCAGAAAGGTGATAGTATCAACAAGTAAAAAAGGATATATCTTCGGCTTGGCCAGACTCTTAATACCCTTCACCACATTGAAGGAACTTAAAAATTAAAAAAAAAAATCCTTCGAAAAAAAAACCTCTCAAATGAAAACCATTATATGGGGGCTATACGAAGACGTGGTTCTGCATAAGTTATTTTTGCCATCGGTTGTAGTGCTCATTACGAACTTTAAATACGATATTTTAAGTAATTCCGGTGAATATTGTCGTTAATATCTTTAAAATACAGAATTAAGGGAGGTACCATTATAGGGGACATATACGAGCAGAAACTATTTTCTACCATTTTTGATGCAAAATGTTTGCCTGTATATCACTCCTGACGTCGCAATTTGCAAAATATTTATTGAAAAGGTTTGGAAAAGTAAATAAAACAATAATCTTTTCCATTTTTTTCCTTTCAGAAACTTTTCACTGCCACCCTAGTTGCCCTGGTTGCCTTAGCTGCAGCTGATGTTAGCCATTTGAAAAATACATATTTACCACCGAGCAAAGACCATCATCATCATCATCACCATGCCGGTTCGTCGGGCAGCCACTCATCGCCGGTAGCAACATACAGTTCCACTAGCTATTCTGCCCCAGCTGCTACCTTCAGTTATTCTGCTCCGGCTGCTGCATCGCCTTCTAAACAATATTTGGCTCCAGCTGCTTCTAGCTCCTCATTCAAATTCTCGGCACCGGCTGCCGCTAAACAATATTCTGCACCAGCAGCAACATATAGCTCTACTAGCTATTCGGCTCCTGCTGCTTCCAGTTCCTCATTTAAATTCTCCGCACCGGCTGCCGCTAAACAATATTCAGCTCCAGCTGCAACATATAGTTCCAGTAGCTATTCTGCTCCTGCTGCATCGGCTCCTGTTAAGAAATATTCTGCACCAGCTTTTACCGCATTTGCAGCCTCAAAGCCATCCAACCAATATTTGGCTCCAGCTGCATCAAGTACATTTGCCTCGAAATCGGCACCTGCCCAAAGCAGTTTTACCTACTCTGCACCCTCTGTGACATACAGTTCTCAGAGTTCTGCACCGGCTTCTTCATATTCGGAGAAATCTTATCAAGCTGCACCAGCCTCATTTTCTTATAGCGAAAAATCCACTTACTCAAGTCCAGCTGCTTCCTCAACCGACTACAACAATTATCCAGCTCCCACAATAATCTATGCTGCACCATCTGCCTCCTCACCCAGCTATACAGCACCATCTTCTTTTACTGGCAGCTCTGGCTCTGGCAGCTTCTCTGCTCCAGCTACAACAAATTCGCACTTCCAATCGGCTGCTGCCTCTCCTGCCAGGACTTATGCCTACTCAGCTCCAGCAGCTTCAAATTTCGTGGCAAAAACTTCATATTCTGCACCGGCTGCCTCCAGTCAAGGTTCTGGTACAGCTTATGCTGCCGATGGTGGTTACATTTACTAGATCTAGATGAAAATTCCGTTTAAATAAAATTCGAAAAGCTTCCGAGAAATATTTTCACTCCTTTATTTCAATTGGGGGTTCTTCGGTCTTGGACAAATACAAAATATTCTTTTTTCTTAAAATACGATTTTTATCATTTTCAGAAGTTTTCACATAAATATGATTAGATGACACGGTGTTCCAGGGTTTATAGTATTGGTTCCCCGGTACCGGTGGATGGGGATAATCAATAATGAATTGGTATTTTAGGGGTACTCCATCGGGTTCTCTGAGTATCAAATCACTGGGCTGTACAAAAACTTTACCCTTACCAATTATGGCATTTTCAAATTTACCAGTTCCCTCAAAAGGTAAGCCATTAACTACCGGATAAAGCATCAACCAGGTCAGGAGAATTTTTATCAAAAGCTTTTCAAGTAATTGTTCCATGATCTGAAAGAAGTTATGAAGCTTTTAATGGCCAATTTATATTTTATTTCCACCAATTGCTCTACTTACCCAAATTTGTAATGGCCTTCTTGTTGCTGTTGCTGCCGATGTCGATGTTACTTAAATCCAAGTCTTAACTAAAAACTTTTTGTGAATGCACTTTCTTTTATACCGGACAGGTTGGGTATTACAGCAAAGTTGTCGTTGCACACCACCAGGCCAGTGCCCTACTGACTACAGTTCCGTTCAAAATAATTATTTCGATTATTCAAAGCCATTCAAAGAACAAGACGTGAGCGGACTCCATTGATGTGTTTATCAAATGCCATTGCAACAACAAATACAACACATTCAATACCAATAAAAAATCTCTTTAGATTTGTGCTGATCTTGTGCTAGCGATTCAAAGCAGCATGTCCCATAGTCGTCATCTATTCGTGGCCTGATTGAAGTGCAGCACTTTTTTTCTCGTTTTGCGTGGAAGAAAGTGACAAAATATTTAAGATTACATTTTATTGATGCACTTTCATTGGATGTTATGTTGTTGTTGCCGTTGTTGTTGTAAAATGCAAATTTACCAGCTTCTCTTGTTAAAATAAAATGTAAAATTTTAATGAACAGTGGTGAGCAGGGGACATAATTTTTGATTTTTATTTGGCGAAGTTAAATGAAAGTTTTATTTATGAGTTGGCTGGAGACCTCAAGAAATTAAGCGGCTAAGTTCAATATAGCCATTTATGTTGAAGTTTCAAAAAATAATTTACCTCATTATACCCTACACCACAAGGTGGTCAGGGTATTATGTCTTTGTGCATTTGTTTGTAACAGGCAAAAGGAAACGAGATAGACCCATAGTTCATTTTTATGATCTGCATAGAATCACTTTCTGAGTTGATTTATGCATGTCAGTCCATCTGTCCGTCCGTCCGTCCGTCCGTCCGTCTGTCCATGTATTCTTGTGAACAAAATGCAGGTCACATTTATTATCCGATTGAGATGAAATTTTCCAAAAACATTTGTTTGGCCCAAGGACGAACCCTATTGAAATTGGAGATAATCGGTCAAAATTTAGATATAGCTCCCATATATATCTTCGTCCGATTTGCTTTTTGTTGTGCACCAAACGTGTAATATCAGCCCGAATAGTATGGAAGTTTGCACATACAACCAAATTAGGCCTGAAAATAAGTATGCCAAATTTTACCGAAATCGGTTCAGATATAGCTATAGCTCCCATATATATTGTTCATCCGATTTGTTATTTTTGTCCTCCGCAGCCGTAATATGCACTCTGTAACAACAATATTTGGGGAAATATATCAAATGCAGCTCAGAAATACCTTTGCTAAATTTTATCGAGATCGGTTCAGATTTGGATATAGCTCCCATATATAACTTCGTCCGATTTACCATTTATTGTGCACCAAACGTCTAATATGCGATGGAATTTCGCACACACGACTGAATTTAGTCTAGAAGGTAGTATGCCAAATTTGGTGAATATCGGTTCAGATATAGTTATAGCTCCCATATATATTGTTCATCCGATTTATTGTATTTGTTACCCACAGCCGTAATATGCACTCCGTAACAACGATATTCAGGGAAATATATCAAATACAGCTAAGAAATATCTTTGCCAAATTTTATCGAGATCGGTTCAGATTTGGATATAGTTCCAATATATATTTTTATCCGATTTCAAATTAATTTCGCACCAAATGGGCAACACAAGTCCGAATTTAAAAGATACAAATGCTTCGGCATATTTAGTCCTTTGAATTTAAATTATAATTATAATCATAGCGTGTATGATTGAATTCTCCCATAAAAACTTTTAATTATTAAGTGGAGCCCAACTAAATTAGCAAAGTGGTGTAGGGTATCATAAAATCGGCCCCGCCCGAATTTAGGATATTCTTTACTGGTTTTCATATGGAATTCGCTCCTTGAAATATGAAGACTGATTGAACTATGAGAATGTTTAAAACTGTTTTATACCCTCCATCATATATAGTATGGAGGGTATATTAAGTTCATTACTTCGCTTGTAACTCATCGAAATAATAATTTTAGAACCTACAAAGTAAATATATTTTAGATCAGCGTAAAATTCTAAGCCGATTTAGCCCTGTCCATCTGTTCGTCAATTGTAATCAAGCTAGAGTGAAAACAAATTAAGGTTTAGCTCCTTACCCTTGCACATATCAGTTTTTTGTCTGCAGGCAAGTCGTGTTCGAAGATGGGCTATATGGGTGTACGATATCGCTTATTTTCCATATAACGGTACCTCCCATTATTCGGTATTTTGATGATTGTAGGCAAATTTTTCAATGGAATTGTGTGAAAATCCGCACAAGAAGTTCCTTCTGAGTACTTTACCCCTGAAAGAGAATTTTCTATATAGTTCGACGATATTGTATAGCCCCCATATAACGGTAACTCCCTATATTCGGTATTTTGATGATTTTAGCTACAGTTTTTAATTGAATTGTCTAAAAATCCATCCCAGAAGTTTTTTCTGAGCCCTTCACCCCCTGGAAGAGAAATTTCTATTTAGGTCCAAGATATCGTATAGTCCATATAGAATTCGTAATGAAAACTACAGTTTGTGACAGAAAACTGTCTATGCAGGTTCAGGTCTTCGTATAGGCCCCATATATCAGTATCTCCCTATATTCGGTATTTTGACGATTTTAGGTACAATATTCACCGAAACTGTTTGAAATTTCGTATTTGTAGTTCCTAATATGTACTACAGCCTGTGACAAAAGATTGCCTATGCAGGTCTAGGTCATCGTATAGCCCCGATATATCAGTACCTCCCTGTATTCGGTATTTTGATGATTTTAGATGCACTATTCACCCGACCTTTTTTCAATATTCGTATTTGAATATTTTAATGGCTTATGACAAAAGTTACCTATGCAGGTCCATGTCTTCGTATAGATCCCAATATAACGGCTATATCCAATAATGTTAAATATTAAACAAAATTTTTAACTTTTTTTAATTTTCCAAAATGGTTCCAAATGGCTGGGGACATTCAAAGTTCGGCCCGATTGAACTTACTGCTTTTTCCTTGTTTACCGTTAGCCAATGCAAGGGCATTGTGAACGTTTCTTAATAAAGTCATATCATAATCTGAACCGATTTCAATATAATTTAAATCTATTTTTTGACCAAATTCCGTCACGCCTTCCATATTTCATTTAAGTTCGAGATACATAGCGCATTTTCTCTAACAAATATACAAAATCGGCTGAAAATATATATAGGAAACTAGCTGAACCCGGTGCGCTTCGCTACCCCTGTTGATTTTATATGCATTCAAAATTTTATTTACGAACATATGTTGGATAAAGAAAAACAAATTTAAAAATTAAAAAAAAATAAATATTGCACTAATTTAATGCGTTAATAAACAAAATCATTACAAAAGCAGTAACATGACATGCATACACGAAGGATTTGTCCTTTGGATTTATTTATTTCATAGCAAATACCAAGCGTGCAGGAAACTGCAATTTTTTTAAGTTGAGTGGCATTTCTATTGCAATTAGTGAATTCGAGATAGCAACATACTTCGCCGTAATAAGCGTATTTCAAATAAATTGTTGTGTTGTTTTTTTAGTGTTAGCCTAAGGCGTTGTGGGTCAATGGTTCTTATTAAAATCATATCCCAGTCTGATCCGATTTAAATATAATTTTACAAAAATTACTTTTACACCAAACTCCGCCACACCTTTCATATTTCATTGAAATTGGTGCGTCAAATATGTGAAATCGGCCGAGAATATATATATGGGAGCTATATCCAAATCTTCACTAATTTCCAATTAATTTATCACATTTATTATTATAACCAAATTCCGCCACACATTCTGAATTTCATTGGAATCGGTCATATATATCGTGTTTGGTGCATAATATGTATGAAATCGGCCGAAATATATATGTTAGCTATATCCAAACCTCCACTGATTTCAATATAATTTGGCAATTTTTTTCTGGTGCCAGATTTTGTCTCTCTCGCTTTGGGTGCATAAAATATGTGAAATCGGCTGAGTATATAAATGGGAGCTATAATCACATCTGAGCGTATTTGAATATAATTTGTCAAATTTATTTTTGTACCAATTTTAGCCACTCATGCCGAATTTCGTTGGAATCGGAAATACGTATCGTGTTTTGTGAATCAAATATGTGAAATCGGCGGAAAATATATATGGGAGCTATATCCAAATCTGAACCGATTTTAATATAATTTGACTAATTTATTTTCTAATCAAAATCCCGTTACATATTCCAAATTTCTTTGGAATCGAACATACATATCGTATATGGTGCATAAAATACATGGAATCGGTCGAAAATATATATGAGAGCTATATCCAAATCTGAAACGATTTTAATATAATTTGACAAATGTATATTTGTTTTAATTTCCGCTACACATTCCAAATTTCATTCAAATTAGAGATACATAGCGTGTTTGGTGCATCAAATACATGAAATCGGTCAAAAATATATATGGGAGCTATATCCATCCATATCCATATATTTAATTTGAGAAATTCATTTTGGCTCCCAATTCCGTTACTTATTTTAAATTTCATTACAATTGGAAATACATGTCGTGTTTGGTCCACCAAATACATGAAATCGGCCGAAAATGTATATGGGAGCTATATCCAAATCTGAACCGATTTCAATATAATTTGGGAAATCAATTTTTTAGATAAAATCTACCACACGTTTCAAATTTCATTGAAATTGGGGATACATAGCGTGTTTCCTGCATAAAATGCTTGAAATCGGCCGAAAATATATATGGGAGCTTTATCCAAATCTGAACCGATTTCAATATAATTTGACAAATTAATTTTCGGATTAAATCCCGTCACACATTCCAAATTTCATTGGAATCGAACATTCATATTGTGTTTGAGGCATCAAATGAACGAAATCGGTGGAAAATATATATGGGAGCTATATCTAAATCTGAACCGATTACAATATAATTTGGCAAACATATTTTTGTTCCAAATTCCGTTATGTATTCCAAATTTGGAGACTGTATCTTCAACCAATCAATAGATATGTGCATATAAAATCTAAATTTTTGGGAGGTACCTCCGATTCTGATGCTATATCTCCAGTTCCAAGTGGAAATTCAAAAATGTATATAGCCTATGTTACTTTCAGGCGATATTGCAGTATATATGGAAATTTTCAGGAAAATCTATTCAGCGGTTTTCGAGTCCATAAATTACAAACAAACAAACAAACAAACAAACAAACATACAAACATTTTCCTCTTTTATAGATATAGAAGATATATCCAAACCTCAGCCGATTTCAATATTATTTGGAAAATTTGTTTTTGTACCAAATTTCACCACACATTCTGAATTTCATTGGAATCAGATATACATATCGTGTTTGTTGCATAAAATACATGAAATCATCCGAAATATATATGGGAGCTATATCTAAATATCAACAGATTTCAATATTATTTGACACTTATATTATTGTAGCAAATTCCGTGACTCATTCTGAATTTCATTGGAATCGAACATCGGCCGAAATTCGGCCGTTTTCAGTATAATATGGCGAATGTATTATACTCTACTATGTGTTGGGGGTAACTTTTGGCTTTTTTATGCTGATTTCGTTGACGAATATAGCCAAATATCGTAGACAAGCAAATTAAATATATGAGTGTAAAATTGGAGATACAGAGGAGATTCTTGCATTTGGATATAATCGCAAAGTTTTTAGGGGTTTAAATACCAAACCAAAAGCAGAAAAATTTTCCTGATCACACAATTGAAACCAATTGACACGTAATTTTGCATGAGAAGAGAGTTAAGGACATGGAAGAAGTCTAGCATTTTGGATGACCATTGGATTATATTTAGTTGTAACTAATAGCAAAACCGAGTGTGTAAATATTGATCAAAAAGCTAAGGGTAATATCGAAATCTTCCATATAGGATTTGAACTTCTACCATATTGTAGTGTTGTAGGATATCACATGGTCGGCCCCTTACGACTATAGTCTTGTATTACTTTTTTGAACCAAATTTCGTCTCTCAGTCAGAATTTCATTGGAATCGGACATACATATCGTGTTTGGTGCATCAGATATGTGAAATCGGCCGAAAATATATATGGAAACTATATCTAAATCTGGAAAATTTGGAAATATTCGGTAAAATTTGTCCAGCTGTTTTTGAGTCTTTAAATTACAAACAATCAAAAATTAGCTAATGTGGTTGACAACGAATGTATATAACTTCTTTTGGGAGGATTCAATAGGATCTATATAACATTAGCTCTATCTACTTTTACCAAATTTAGCATGCTTACTTCCATAGTCTTCCATTATCCATAAGATGATTGGTGCATCATTTTTTCCCTTGGAATTACACTTTTGCTAAGACACCGTCCGAATGTCAAATAATCTAATTATCAACGAAGTGTTAATTTAATACAAATGTTACTTGACATAAAGCATTTTAAGCTTTTAGTTATCAGAAAAAAAAAACAGGAAGTAAAACAAAGACATGAAGCATAAACACTGATAAAAGGGGAGGTGAGTGCGAAATCGGGATACACTACATCACAAGATTTGAACAGATATATTTTAAAATATTTATTGGATATTGGATTATACCGGACAAAGGAGGCGCCGAAATTCAGGTTATTTGGACTGATAGTAAGCATTTGATGCACAAATAACCCGAAATCGGTTGAAGATATATACAGAGAGAGAGATGAAAAAACTGCAACCAACTTCAGACTGTTATCATTTCTAAGCCACTCGTCCGACAGCTGTGAAAATTATTTCAGTGACAGCTCATTATATTGTTTACAAGCGTACAAAAGCATTTTGGTGAGCATTTTTCATAAAACTTTTGTGTCTTGTACCATCGCTCGTTACTGTGATACGGGTAGCGTAGCCCGACGTCAAGGAAGTGGACGGAAGAAAACAGCAACATCAACAGAAATGGTTCTAAAAGTAAAGAAGCGACTTGATCGGAACCCGCGTCGCAGTGACCTAAAGTTGGTTCGTGAGCTGAACTCATCACAATATTCCATTCGTCAAATATTGAAAAATGAGCTCGGGATGGAGCCATTTAAGTTCCAAAAAGTGCATGAACTTACACCGCAACAGAAAGAAAAGTAGACTCAAAACAGCTAAAGAGTTGCTTCGCTTGGCCGAAAGTGGTGAAATGCCGAATTTGGTTTTCTCCGATGAGAAAACATTCGTTGTCCAGCAGTTTGTAAACAAACAAAATGATATGAACCATCGGTTGGCCACCAGAACTCAAGCGCCGGCCATGGTGATGGTGTGGGCCGCCATAACAGCCGAAGGTAGCTCTCCGCTCTTATTAATCGACCGTGGCATCAGAATAAATTTCGAATATTAACGCGAAAATATTCTGGTGGGTGTATTAAAGCCTTGTGTACGCAATCATTTTGGCCGCAGACCTTGGAAGTTTCAACAGGACTCAGGACCATCGCACTCAGCACGCGCCACCCAAGAATGGTTACAAAATGAGGTTCCTTGCTTCATATTCAACACATAATGGCCCCCAAAATCTCCGGATACCAATCCGTTGGACTATTGTGTCTGGAGTATTTTGGAAAGCAAGGTTGGCACTAAAAATACCAAAGTGTCGATCAACTCAAGCAAGCGCTTCGCGGGAATGAGCCAAAATACCACAGAGCAACATTCGGGCAGCGTGTGACGGTTTCATTGGCCGTTTGAAGGCCATAATTCGTGCCAAAGGTGACCAATTCGAACAAATCTAAACTTATTCTAAAATTTTATGCTATTTCCGACATTTTTTGCGTTCATCCAATAAAATTAAAAAAACAAGTAAGCAAAGGCTATAGTCGTGCGTGGCCGACCATGTAATACCCTACAACACCATAATATGTTAGAAGCACCCTTATGTCCAAATCCATTAGCTAATAGAGCATTGCCCAAATTTTACCCTTAGCTTTTTGTCCAGGGGCATTTGCTCAATATTTACGCACTCGGTCTGTTGTTTTGCAAGAGGTTCCACTGTATTGCCAAATTTAGACAAATCTTCTCTACGATATTTGGCTATATTCGTCAACGAAATCAGCATAAAAAGCCAGAAGTTCGCCTTTTGTGTATTTTGCCTGTAAGTTATTTTCAGAGTTTCGGTAGAATGGAAATGTTGGTATTTTTTCACACAAAATTAGTGGTCCATTCAACCCGCTGTCCTAAACTCTAACTTCATGCAAGATTTCGTGTACTGTGTACTTTGGTTTCTATTTGTGACCTTTATAACGGCTGCAAAATCAGGAAAATTTTTAGTTGTTGGACCATTTTAACCCCTAAATATAGTGCGGACATCTTTAAAAACAATAGGCCTAGCCCTTCTGAGCCTAATCCTACCCTTATGAAAATTTTCGTGAGGATCGGACGATAATTGCAATCTGAATATAATAACCCCAACCTGTGTTGTAAGGTCAAAAAAATATTACAAAATATACACTTTAATATTATAAGTCAAATTTAAAAAATCGCATGCGATAAAAAATTTGAAAAAAAATTAAAAAATGTCACAAAATACTACAAAATCTATATTAACATCTTTTTTGGCATATTTTTCTGCGATTTTTTAGATTTTATACTTTTTATGTCAAAAAGGCATTCCGAATTGACAAAATTTGTCAAAATCGGTCCAGCCATTCTTGAGATATAAGCATTCTAACTAACATCCCCTTCCTTTGTATATACACATTGTATATATTTCGCTATATATAACCGATATATTTACTATCGGCATCTACATAAAATTCAGAGACAAGTCATTAACACTACTTCAATTTAAAAGAGAAATAACACAAATTACATTTTAAGAAAAGCTTTACATCGTCAGAATGTAGGCCAATTAAAATATGTTGAGAAAAAACAACGTAGGGTATCCATATGTATTTCGCATGTTGATATTTTGTCTTTGGCTGCAATTATCACTTCCCCAATGGAATAACCCATTGTCAGTTTCATAACGAAACAAATGCATTTTTAGGGTGTCTATAAATATAGAAAACATTGTGACCACAAGTTTAGTTCCATTCAGCAGAAGTGCAAAGCAGCTACCAACAATGGTAAGATATGATCTTTGAAGCAAATATAAGACATATAAAATAAATGTTTTTTTTTCCAAACAGAAACTGTTTATAGCTTTATTTCTGTATACGACAACTATAGCTATAGCAGATGTCAGCCTTTTAAATAAGGAATATTTGCCGCCGTTTCCGTATTTCAAAACCATCTATAAAACTGCGGATAGTTCTTCAATTTTTACCTCTGACTCTAGTTTCTTGGCCTCAGGAGCGAACTTTAATGGTGATTTTGAAAAATTAATTGATGTTGATGCACCGGCCATAGACTCGACTAAAACTGATTCAACTGATTCTACTGTTCATAATATACCATTAAGTTTCTCAACGAAATCCAATACAGATGACAGTGAATCATCATTGGAAACGGAAAATACAGCTGGCTCGACAGGGGAATCAAGTTTCTCCGTTTCATCAATATTGCCGGAACCAGGTTCATTTTTATCCAGATTATCTATTGGATCATCTGCATCAGGTTCATTAACACCAGTTACATCTGACGATATTTTATCTTTTTCGTCGAGTTCTTCAGTGCAAGAAGATACTAAAAATTCCGATGAAGTTACATTGTCGTCCAATACAGATTTATCTGAGGATACTAGTTTCTCCATTTCTTATGATTCGGGCTCACTCACATCCAGTATATTCACGGAATCATCTACAACAGAAGATCTTAATACGGATACATCAGCTACACATATTTCTAACGCAGTTACAACTTCATCATCCAGCTCTCCACTCCCGAAAGATGACTCAAACATTTCAGTAGCTTCTTCAACAACTGTTACGACGTCATCGGTCAATTCGACAAATGACAACTCATTGGACTTAGACAGCGATACTAATATTGATACTATTAGTGGTGATAAATCAGCTCCAGCTATTACAATTTCAACCAAATCATCTGATTCAGAATTAAATGATTCGTCTAGTAATTCCGATAAAGTTGGTACTGTTTATGCTGCTGGTGGTGGCTATATTTACTGATCCTTATAAATTGTCACATCCAATATTTGTGAATATGTATTTTCATAATAGCCCTCAAAATTTTCAAAAAAAAAATTAGTTTCAAAGTATCAGTCGATTTTGCCGCAACCTATTTCAGTTTGTAAAATATGTTTTGACTTATGTTTTCAAAAAAAAATTAGTTTCAAAGTATCAGTCGATTTTGCCGCAACCTATTTCAGTTTGTAAAATATGCTTTGACTTATGTTGATCCTTTATAACTCTAATAAAATTATTTGTATGTGCAAAATTTAAAGAAAATCAGACATCTAAAAACCATTTTTTTGGGCATAAATTTTAATCATAATTTTAACCTTTTGGGGGGCAGAGGTTCGGGAAGGAGTAAGCCCATAAAATCCATGTTCACATCAAATGTCTGGTTGACAGAAATATTTAGATATACCAAGTTTGAATAGAATCGATGACTTGTTTCGCAAGTTATGAAATATATAAATAGTTACAATTGTGACCGTTTGTGAGGAGGGTACCTGCAGGGGTAGGCCGATATCTATGATTTTCACACCAGATCTAGCGTTAATTTAAATATTAATAATATTGATGGCATGTGTGACATTTGAAGTGAATCAGATGCTTATTTCATATTTTATACGAGTTGTAATTATTCCAAATTTCGGTCCGTTGTGAGGGAGGTACTAGAAGGTGTAGTCCGATATATCCCATCTTTAAATCACATCTTGTGTTAACAAAAAAAATGGGATGTGTAAAATTTAAATAGAATCGAATGAATATTTCGTATTTTCTAAGAATTATAAATATTGGAATTCACAAAATTTGAACAAAATTGATGCGTTCTTGTTTTTTTTCTCTGAAAATTTTAGTCTTTTGTGGAGTAAGTACCAAAAGGAGTGGACCGATATATTCTATCTTCACACCGGGTCTAGTGTTAATATAAAACAAGTAAGCAAAGGCTACAGTCGAGCGGGGCCGACCGTTGAATACCCTACAACACTATAATAAACAAAACTATATAAAACTATATTCTTCAACGAAATCAGCATTAACGTAATAGTCGGAAGTGCGTCTTTCCTGTATTTGTGAAAGTCACTGGAATGGAAATTTTCGTATTTTGTCTACAAAAGTTGGCAAACTATTTCACACATTGAATATTTTTGGATGGCCATCCGAAACTGTATGGCTTTTGCAATGTGCGGTAACCCCCATTCAAATGTGCGCAAGGATCAGGCGATAATTACGACCTGCCGACAATTTTGCAGTTTTTTGGTCCATTTCAACCCCTAAATATATGGCGATCATCTCCAAAAAGAGTAGGCTTCTATTCTGACCCTCATCTTATCCCCATGCAAAATTTCGTAAGGATCGGGCCATAAATGATATCTGTATATGATATCCTAACTACTCAGTTTTGTTAGCTGTAGAAATATTACCAAATGTTTAATTATACCCTACAACACTATGTGTTGGGGGTATTATAAGTTTGATTGGGCCAGAATTTATGTAACACCTCGAAATATTGGTTTCCCATATAGGAAAGTATATATGGATCTTCCTAGCTCGCCGAGCTGAGTCGATCTAGCTATGTATGTCCGTCCGTCGGTCTGTCCGTCTGTCCGTCTGTCCATGTTAATTTGTAATCACTCTACAGGTCGCAATTATGGCCCGATCTTCACGAAATTTAAAATGTAAGTGGGGTTAATGTCAGAATAGAACCCTATTTCTTTTGAAGATGATCGCCAAATGTTTAGGGGTTGAAATGGACCAAATACTGAAAAAATGTCGGATTTTGCAGTAGCTATACTGGTTGCAATTATAGACCAATCGACGCGGAATTTCGCAAGTAGCTAGAGTTTAGGGCGGGGAAAAAGCCTACCAATTTGAAAAAATTCAAAATTGTTCATTAAACCGCGAATATTTTAAATCCCGGCGAAATCACAAAGCCATGACAAAGTTACTTCTGATCTTTACATTGATGTTAAGATCCAAAAAATCGAATATATAGCAAATATATGCGATATATATGTCTATCAAAGAAGATATGCTTGAAAGATCTCTTATATGTCGAGAACGGCTGAACTGATTTCGACAGTTCCCATTAATTCAGAATGGCCTCTTGGCAGGAAAGGAAACACGTCTAAAAAACGCATACAAATATCTCTCTAAAGATGAAAATATTGATTTTGTAATATTTTCTCATATTTTTTCCATTTTGTCATATTTTTGGCATAATTCATTTTGAATTAAACATTTGGTAATATTTCTACAGCTAACAAAACTAAGTAGTTAGGATATCAGGATATCATATACAGATCGCATTTATGGCCCGATCCTTACGAAATTTTGCATGGGGATAAGATGAGGGTCAGAATAGAAGTCTACTCTTTTTGGAAATGATCGCCATATATTTAGGGGTTGAAATGGACCAAAAAACTGCAAAATTGTCAGCAGGTCGTAATTATCGCCCGATCCTCAGGCACATTTGAATGGGGGTTACCGGACATTGCAAAAGCCAAGCAGTTTTGAATGGCCATCCAAAAATATTCAATGTGTGAAATAGTTTGCCAACTTTTGTAGAAAAAATACGAAAATGTCCATTACAGTGACTTCTTGGAGAATTCACAAATTCGTTAACGCTGATTTCGTTGAAGAATATAGTCAAATGTCTGTATTTCATATAGATGCGTTTCAGTCAAAAACCAATAATAAATGTTAATCTTTTGCCACTTCTGATAGATTATGGGTCTTTGGGAAATATTGGTTCCAGATCTAGGAAGACCATTTACGTGCAACATCTACCAATAAATAAATAGTTTAAGTTGCTATTATTCGAAAATTAGAGAACGAAACCTGATGGTTTTCTTTTATTATTTGTCACAATATCTTGTGGAATTCTTTCGAGTGTCTCGCCTATATAAACTGTATCGTTTATTGTAGTGTTGTAGGGTATTCAACGGTCGGCCCCGCTCGACTGTAGCCTTTGCTTACTTGTTCAAAATGAAAATATGCCAAAAATATGACAAAATTGAAAAAAAAAAAATGAGAAAAATGTTACAAAAGCAATATTTTCATCTTTATAGAGATATTTTTATGCGATTTTTTAGACGTTTTTTCTTTCCTGCCAAGAGGCCATTCTGAATTAATGAGAACTATCGAAATCAGTTCAGCCGTTCTCGACATATAAGAGATCTTTCAAGCATATCTCCTTTGATAGACATATATATCGCACATGTTTTGCTATATATCCGATTTGTTGGATAATAACATCAATGTAAAGGTCAGAAGTAACCTTGTGATGGCTTTGTGATTTCGCCGGGATTTAAAATATTCACGGTTTAATGAAAAATTTTGATTTTTTTCAACACAAAAGATATGGTCTATTTTACCCGCTAAATATTATCCGATGACCACCCAAATTAGTAGGCTTCTTCCCCGCCCTAAACTCTATCTACATGCGAAATTTCGATTGTCGATTGGTCTATAATTGCGACCTGTATAGCTACTACAAAATCCGACATTTTTTCAGTATTTGGTCCATTTCAACCCCTAAACATTTGGCGTTCATCTCCAAAAGCAATAGGGTTCTATTCTGGTCCAAGCCCCACCTACATTCTAAATTTCGTGAAGATCGGGCCATAATTACGACCTGTAGAGTGATTACAAATTAACATGAACAGACGGACAGACGGACGGACGGACATACATAGCTAGATCGACTCAGCTCGGCGAGCTAGGAAGATCCATAGATACTTTCCTATGTGGGAAACCAATATTTCGAGGTGTTACATAATTTTTGGCCCAATCAAACTTATAATACCCCCAACACATAGTGTTGTAGGGTATAAATATAAATATCTCCGAGTTAAAATTAGCTGTTAAAACGCATTATTCGAAAACTTTAAATGTCATGGATTTTTAAGAAAATATGTGTTCTAAATTAAAACCAGTAAAGAAAGTCTTAAAGTCGGGCGAGGCCGACTTTATGATATCCTACAACACTTTGCATATCAAGTAGAGCTTCACATAACAAATAAAAGTTTTAATGGGAAATTTTAACAATTTGGTGCACAATTAACTTGAAATCGGATAGGTATATATAAGAGCTATATCTAAATCTGAACCGATCTCGATAAAATTTGGCAAAGGTATTTCTGAGTTGTATTTGATATTTTTCTCCAAATACCGTTACTACGGTGTCCATTTTACGGCTATGTAATTCCACAAATCGGATGAACAATATGTATGGGAGCTATAGCTATATCTGAACCAATCTTCACCAAATTTGACATACTAGCTTCTAGACTCAATTCGGTCGTAAGTACCAAATTCCATTTGGGCTAATTTTAGACGCTAGGTGCACTATAAAAGGTAAATCTCACGAAGTTGTATATGGGAGCTATATCCAAATCTGAACCGATCTCGATAAAAGGTATTTCTGAGCTGTATTTGATATATTTTCCCAAATATTGTTGTTATAGAGTTCATATTACGGCTGCGGAGGTCAAAAATAACAAATCGGATGAACAATATATATGGGAGCTATGGCTATATCTGAGCCGATTTCGATCAAATTTGGCATACTTATTTTTAGGCCTAATTTGGTTGTGTGCAAAATTCCATACTATTCGGGCTGATATTACACGTTTGGTACACAATAAAAGGCAAATCGGACGAAGATATATTTGGGAGCTATATCTAAATTTTTACCGATTATCTCCAATTTCAATAGGGTTCGTCCTTGGGCCAAACAAATGATTTGTGAACTGTACTTTGTTTACAAAAATACATGGACAGACGGACGGACATGCATAAATCGACTCAGAATGAGATTTTATGCAGATCACCTGTTACAAACAAATGCACAAGGACATAATACCCTGTCCTCCTTGTGTTGTAGGGTATAAAAACAAGTAAGCAAATCCTATGGTCGTGGACCGACCGTGTGATACCCTACAACACCACAATATGTTGTAAGGCTCCTTATATTCAAATCCATTTTGGAAGATTTT